GTTATGTGATGAAACATTGTCGTTAATAAAAAAAAACAAAAAAAAAAACATCTTTCTGAAATTGTTTAGCTTATTGGAACATAGCTTCATCTATACTTAAAAAATCTGAGTCTTCATCATAACACCAGCGAGAACTTATTATGGGACTATCATTTCCTAAACATTTATAATCCAACTCCCAAATATCACACCATTTCCAACTTGTTAATATCTCTACTGGTGAGGGCGTTCCCGACATAAACCACTCAGCCTTTTTTCCCAGCCTCGTGAGTTTTATTTGTTTCGCCGCTAGATTTAGGACCCGACATTTTGTATTTTTTAACATTTGCTAGCTTTCTATAATAGTTTAAAAAAGAACACCATAGGTTGACAAAAAAAGAAAAAGGTAACTTCTCTTTTGAGACGAAAGAAGATTGGCAGGATAAAGTCGTCAAAAATGCCTTTATCGGAATTACATCGGGGAATCTTCCAGAATCTTCAACACATTTTTTCCCAGTTCGATAATCCCCTAGTTTATTACTTTTTATCCTTTACCAGGTCTGAGGTTATTAAACATTTCTATGTATTCGAGAAAATCAACAATAAGCCCCCACTTTTTTCAATATCTTGAGTTATTTGGATAGAATTCTTTGAAATGACAAAAGTAAGTATCTGAGCAAAAAGCAGAAAAATCAAACTGAAAACATTTTATGAAAAATCTCAGCATTCAGAAATTGGTTTACTGCTGGTTTAATTTTCTTTGTAAGGAACGTGAATGTGTAGATGGTTTAATGGATAAGCGGAATGAGTACTAAAGCTGAGTTCGAATTCCAGTCGGGTTCGTTAAATTCCCATACATACAAATACCATTGGGAGATGTAAGAATCCATCTCACCCCGTGCCGTGTATTAAAAAGTTGTATCTGAAAAATCATTGTTATTCTAAAAAAAAAAAAATGTTAATGTAAAATTCCCTCGCAAGAAAAGAAAGAATTATTTTTACAAACCAAAATATGGTTCGGCTTTAAATAACCCATTTAGGGTTGATAAGCCGTCAAAAATGCAAATCAACAATTAGAAATCATGTCTTTAGGCTCTTTATGATTTGTTCAAAACCCCTTTTTTATTCTTTTGGCATCCTTTACGCTCAATCATAGCATGATCTGTGTAATCTACACTTAACGTGATCTGTGAGCCTCGTACTGGGCATGATCTGTGTGTCCTACACTGAAGGGATCACTCTGTCTTATACTAAGCGTGATCTGTGTATCCTTCACTCAGCGTGAGCTGTGTGCCTCGCAATGAACGTGATCTGTGCCCTGCTTGGAGCGTGATTTGTGTCCTGCACTGAGCATAATCTGTGTAGCCTGCACGAACCGTGATCTGTGCGTACTGCACTGAATGTGATTTGTGTGTCCTGTTCATCTGTTGTTTTTTTTTTGTCTCTCAATGAAAAATTTCGTAAACTGAAAGGGCGTCAGGCGAAGAAGTAATTAATTACCATGGGACAATCACAGAACGTTCTCAAAGCTCAAAATGAATTTTGCGAGAAATTCTTCTCTACGTCTGATTTCAAGATGTTCACACCCAACACAAGAAAAGACAAATCACCCCTTTAGTCAATACGCTGACAGATATGGTAGAAAGTTAATTTTGGAGTTCGGTTCAGTTAGATTGATTGATTTTACGGTATATGTTGGATTATTTTTAATATCGAAATCTGTCTTTAAAATTATTATGTTTGAATCCATAAACAATAACTTGGTTCGGGGATAGATAAATATTGGTCATTTATAGTTGAGTATCGAGGTATTTATTTGGAAGGTGAGGAACCATTCTTACTCCAATGCAGGGTAAGTAGTCAGCACATTATAGGGCCAGACGATAGGCTAAGTTAATTTAAGTTGTTATGTTAGACTCAACCTACAAGGTCCCACCGTTTATTTTTTAATCTTTTAGGGAACGATATATATTAAGCAATGTGTTGTGGTAGGATCCACCTAATTTGCATAGTGGAGTACCGACCATATAAATATTGGTACCGGGAAGGAAGGGAGAGGAATCAAGAGATTCAATCCAGAGACTCTGCCCGACTGCGACTAAGTCAAGACATTCTCCAGGAACGGTCTTCCCAGGAATATACAAAAGACTATATGTAAATATTGTGTACACTTTCTTGTTTCAATACATTTTGTTCTAAGTACATTTTGTGTTGCATTATTATTCCATGCATTAGTCAAGTTTCAACACAATGGAAACCCAAAATATAAAAAAAAGCTATATATATATATATATATGTATATATATATATATAAACACTGAAGTCAACACCCAAAGCCGACAGTCTTTGTCGACTATTTATATATATAGATCAGTGATGCATTGTGTGTAGTCTATTGTATTGTTTTAACGGTTATTTTAGTGGAGTGTAAGGGTTATGTTTCGAATTATTTTAGTCACTGTTAATAGTGTATCCGGGTGCAGTTTTGGGGTTATTTATATAGTGTTGTTTTTGAAATTTTTTATTCATATATCATTTTATTGTTGGTTGTTATTATTACTTATATTTATAGCGTCGTTCGTTAATTTCTTTATCATTTACTTAAATTATTTACTTATTTATTGGTTAGGATTAGTTTATTCAACTTATTTTAAGCAATTTAATTGTATTTTATTGTTTTATTTATTAATTTATTCTTGTTCGTTTTTAGTTTTCGATTTTTAAGCATCGTAGTAAAATTTGTTTTCGTGCCTGCATTCTGAGACGAGTTTTGATCGTTTATTTAGTAGTTTGTGTTTGGGAAGGTAATTATAAAAATCTTTTCGGCGTGAAATAATCCATTGAGGTTGATATGCCGTAAAACAAAATCAAACCAAACGTATGAAGCACTCAGTCGTAATTAATCTAGCAATACAGGCATGATAACCATTACACCATTTCGAAGAGCCCTATATGCTACTCTTTGTACAGAAGTGTACGGAAGAATGGTCTCTCCTTGTCATAATAGAGGGCTTGCGTGTCCCAGTGATCCCAAGAGCGAAACTAGCTGGATTTTCAACTCCTGAAGGTCCACCCATGGCGATATGGACGAGGAGAGACCAGACTGAACGCGAATCAACCCTGAAGACCCCTACCACCAACGGTTGAATAGGCAACACAATCTCAACGACTAAACCGACAGAAGAGGTCAGTGCCAGTCCGGCTGGCGTAACCAAGGCGGATGCAATCAGGTTTGCCAGATCCCGCTGGTCTCAACCTGGGTTGAATCGCGAGGCAGGCGCTTCCGGCCAAGTATGTGGTCTTCTATGTCGTGCAGAGTTGTCAACAAAAATCAAATTCACGGAAATGGTCTCGTTAAACTGTCTTTGATTCACAGCCATCTAACCCACTGCCACCATATGCGTGGTGGTGGTGGGGGGAGGAACAGGGAGAGAGGAGGACGATCCCGATGCTCGGATGCGAGTGGGTGCCGACGACGGCGTACTAAAGAATAAACCTAATATGCAAATACGATAATCATATCTATATTCTGCGCATTATTCGATTTGCATACAATACGCATTTATTTTTTCTCACTTTATTCCTTTTATTTATTTATATTCCGTTTGCAAAAAGGGAACACAATTACGATTAAAGTTTTTGTATCGCTGCTCGGATTGAGAAATCGGAGAGCCGAGTTCGAATTCCACTCGAATCCATTACATTCACTTACGTGCTAATACCCTTGGGAAATGTATGAATTCTCTTCTTCAAGAGATATGGGTAAATAGCAGGACAGACCGGGTTCTATAGACTTTGATGTCAACTAGAAAGAAATGGCAACCTACTGCGGGAAAGAAATCTGCCTCGTCAGTCATGTATCGAAAGATACATGATCGCCTAAGCGTGTATCCTGCATGGCACATAACTGACAATGTACAGTCCTGAAAAGTTGGATTTTTATTTTATTTTTATGAAGTTTTATATTTTTTTTATTAATTGCTAACAGTTTCTCTAATTATGGTAGAAAAAGATGTTTTTATGAAGATGGTTTGTTTTAGCTCCCTTCCTTTTTCTTTATGTACATATAATTAGAATATATTTAGAATCTGCAATATTATCAGTTTTAACCTGGCATCTCGGCTTCAACCATTATCCCACCGCCGTAACACAGCATTCCCGTGCCTTTTCTATAATATATTTTCATTTTGTTCTGATGAGCTTACGTCTTTGGTACATCGATTGGTTGATTACTTTATTTGTTTAACGGCATATCAACACCTTATGGGTTCAGTTAAAGCCGAAATTTAATTTTCTTGGGTGCTTTGAAATAATAAAAATATGTTATTGTGTTTTCACAGTTGAATAAATAGTAGATTACTGGTTGGTTGATTGATTTTGTTTGGCGGCACATCAACCTCTCTGAATTATTTAATTCCAAAATCTAAATATTTTGAACACAATTTTATGGGTTCAACTAAATATATTTTGAACGCAATTGTATACCTTCAACTACAGATGATTTGTATTGGTCATGTATTGTTGGCAATTCTACAATAAATATGTACTGTTGTTATTTTTATATAAAAATGCATTGCTTGTATTTTTACTATGACAATGTATTTTTATACTTTCATCGGGTTTTATTTTTTGAGGAGCAGGGTTCAATATTTTCCCATAGCAACAACATCATTTAAGAATTGGTTCCCCGCTGCTCAAATCATCCAGTTTTCCGATCAGAGGCCTTGCTGCCAGATGTAGTTTATCGTCATACCCAGGACTATCGGCACATTTACTTTAAGAATGTAAGCACAGTACTAGATTAGAAGCTAGGTTTAATTATTTTATCATTGTTAGATACAACTGTAAGTTCTATGTTAACAGTTTCTTCCCTCGCACTTCTCGCTTGTGGAAGACTCTTTCGGATTATTGCTTTCCAGTCTACTTTGATCTTGAAAAATTTAAATGCGAAGTCAATCGTTATCTTCAGTCTTCTTAATTCCCGTTCTTTTACTGTTCTCTCTCCTTAATAATGGGCGTACGCCCACATCCCGTTGAACCACCGGTTCCCGTACGATGACCGAAGTTAAGCAACGTCGAGCCTGGTTAGTAGCTACATGGGTGATCGCTTGAGAATACAGCGCTGTAAGCTTAGGTGTACGGGTGGTGTAATGGATACTGTCTCGAAATTGTTAATCTGTGAGCTGAGTTCCAATTGCTGTTGGGTTCGTTATATTCACTTACGTGCATACACCTCTTGGGAAAGGTATGAGTTCACATCTTCTCTCCCCCAGCTATGATTTAATTAGTAAAACTTGGATCACTCTACCTTTATCATCTCCTTAAATGATCTTACAATCTAAAAATATTTTCTGTCTTTAAATAACCTGAAAAGGGTCGAAAAGCAAGAGAAAATGAATTAATAATGTTTTTATTTTTCTCATATTCTTTCACACTCCGTAACCCCTTGCGTCTTAGTAGCTTTATTGTCTTGCTTGAGGTGAAATATTTAAAAACTCTATTTTTTTCATCTTTTATTTTTATAAATCTATTATTGCTTCTTGGTCGACTCCAACAATGAGTTTTGATTGTTTTATTCTTAAAGTAAAAACAAAGGATATTTCATTAACACGGATCAAAATAAACAGCAAATAAATCAGTGTTATTGGTGAAAATGTATTTATTTCTCTATTGGATCATGTTATTTGAGTCATGGTAATTATAGGTGAAAAATAATATCGCTCAAATGTCCGCGAAGGCTTCGGCGTCACACCTCCACTCGATGGTCAACATTTTTGATGACGTCTCTGCACAGTTGATCCTCGATCTCACCAATATGCCTTATTATCCCACCCTTCAGCTGTTGAATTGTTGTTGGTTTGTTGGCCTAGACCATACTTTTGACATGGATCCCAAAGGAAGAAATCTAAAGGCATCAAGTCGCACGATTGTGGTGGCCAAGTGACTTTGCTGTTTTGAGAGATGAAGCGATCTGGGAAATTCCTATTGCATTTCTGTTTGAACATCCATTTTTGTAATAGGCTTTGATAATTTTAACACGTTGTTTGATTGTTAATCTTTCCATGGTTGAAATTGCCAAAGACGTAAGTTGTTAAATCTGAAAGAAAAAGAAAAAATCGGTCCATGTTATTGGAAAACCCCTATTTGTAAGCTACTGCTTAAAATATTTTATTTAGCAAATAAAATGTGGATATATAATAAATATTTACTGTCTCCACGTTTCGCTCTCATGTGTCTATCAAGCGAATATGTCCCACCCGAAATAAAAGCCGTGGGTGGCTCTCGTATGGGATATACGAGGACACTAATACCATTCAGCAGTAAGTATTTAAATGAAATCATGGGAAATTAAGTGCGATTTAATATCTTAAATTGTGGAAGTGAAAAAATGGCTAGTGGGCGTCTTAGGGAGTGATCAGATATTAAAATGTTTCTTAACGTTTGACGCACGCCCCACAAGAGGCCAATTTAGATATATTGTGGGGTAATTTGGAATTTTGGGTGTGAATAGCAAGAAACGTTCCGTGTCTTATAATGTCGAGTTAATGTTTAAAGAATTAATTTCTAATTAAACAATACTATTAATTACTAATTTGAAACTACATTCCATAATAACTATTTCTAGACTCTAGACATTGTGCACTATAAAAACGATGGGGTAATTCATTTTTGTTGCTAAATGCCATACCACGAAAAAGAAATTACATAAATTTATTAAATGCCATAAATTTCATATTCCATAAATATCGTCTATATATACATACATGCATGATGACCGTCGAATCGTTATCGAGTATGGCCATCGCTGACAAGTTTGATCCATGGTTCTAGTTCTCGTGAGGATGAACATGGCCGTTAAAAGCAGTAAATATCTATTGCAGACTTAGCAAACTGTTGTTCTATACAGGGCCGGGCTTGATTCTGTTTAGCTTGTATGTGCGTTTACATGCGACGTTTGTGAGCTGCAGATTTTGTGACATAGTCCGCATGTTAAGATATTCCCAGCGTAGTAATGATCATAATTTGTCAAAGGCATACTAATATGAGTCTTCTTGCGGCTAAGGAGGCTTAGACGTAATTGACTATATTCATCAAATGTACATTAATGGGACAATGATTTCTCCTTTCTTAGCCTGCACGCCTAACATTTGGGCAACACATTGCATCATTTTGGAAGATCTTAGTGTCTTCCTGTATTGTACGCCTTTATTTATTTCGTAAAAAGCTTTTTTATATTGAGGATAGCCATGAATTAAATTACACTTTTTATGACTGAAAAAAATGAACATGAGTTTAAAAAGTGATGCAATACAGGATGATGAAGCTTTTAAAATTTGAGATATTACAAAAAATAACCAGGATGTGGTTTTGTGACGAGAGAAAAAGTATACATCCCAATGTAACTACTTTGACAGAAGAGTTACTATGATCCCCATTTTTGCCTGTGATAGAATGCGCATTTAGTTTTGTAAATGACTTATTATAAAAAAAAGAAACAAGTGAAACAAAAGAAAATAGAAAACAATAGATACAAAAATCGCATGTTCAATGGCTGCACAAAATACTTTTTCCCTTCTTCTTTACTGAACTCACAGCCTGCCATTTACTCAGTTTTAATGTAGCTAAAAAGTAACCAAGCAAAAAAAAAAAAAAAAAACTGTCAGGAGACACATCTCAGAAAAGAAAAGGACACAAAATTGGATGAGGACAAAACCAACCAATCTAGAATCCTCAGTATAAGTTACTTTGTGTGCCCACTATAAAAAGAAATCTCACCGATTTTTCTTCTTTTCTCTGGTAAGTCGGTCAGCGGCCGATATAAACTACCGCAGATAAGACCCATGATTTACCATAAGCAGATGCTAGTGAAATGGTCTAAGTTTTCATATACATTTTCGGAAGGTGAAAAAATGTAATTTATTCGTCACTCTGTGACCAGATATCCAATATATATATATATATATATATATATATATATATATATATATATATATATATATATATATACCCCTTGTGAAAATTAATTGAAATAAAACGAATATTTCTGTTATTATTTATTTTCGTATTTTTCCAATGAAACATGACCAAGTGCACACGTTAGTACTTCTTATGTCCATTCCACGAAGTTGTGCCTTGCAGATAGACCACAGATTTTCCATTGGATTTAAATCAGAAGAGTTACCGGGCCAGTCTATAGTACTTTGAATTGCCCACTGGTAAGGCTTGCCAGTGTATTCGTGCAGCGTTACATTTTTTGTACGCTTCCTTGGAGTAAAGTCCATCGCAGACAATGGCCGTTGGACAACTAATCGACAGTCGATCCAATAGTGTTTGGGCATGATAAAAATCTGATGCAATAATGGATGACGCAACATTTTTCAAGACCAAACAAATTTCATCATACACTCCGAAAAAAAAACATATCACTGCACACTACAGCAAATGACCTAATCTGAGGAAAAAAAATAGAAATCGATTGCATCCTGTCACTCCAGTGGGTCTAAAACTGATCGTATTTTGAAAGAAAGGAAACTGAAGCGGTTGTTTCAATTAATTTGCAGAAGGGTGTATATAATTTTGTTGCCAGATTCAAAACTATAGATATAAGTTGCAGATGTTTTTCTTAAATGTTTAATGTACCTGGGTACGTTTGTCCCGCAAACATTATTGGCAGACTCATGTGAGTCCGGGTAAAAATAAAATTACAAAACATTAATGAAAAAAAAAAGATAATTAATGCACATATTAACAAAAGTATTTGCATGTTTACACAAAAAGCGATAAAAAAGACAAAAAAAAAACATATTAAAACTCGCTATAACAATGTGATTGTGTGTGAAACATGCGTGTGTGATACATGCGTGTGTGATACATGTGTGTGCATGTGAAAGAGTTCAAAAGTCAACAGAGAATCAAGGAAGCGAACGCGCCCCAGCGGTAGCATTTTTATTTACGTTTGATTACATTTGAAAACAAGAGGAAAAGTAAAAAAAAAAAAAAAAGAATGAATAATTGCTTTTTTAATAGACTTAAATAACGCCATCTAACGGGCGCTTTTGGCAGAGACAAGTGGGATAACCCACATCTACATTCCCTTTCGCATGAGTTTATCCTTTATTACTAACCTCCTCATTCACTTACTAACAGCAGTCGCAACTATCACCGAGTGAAACTAGTTGGCGTATCAACGATGTTTCAAAAGAATTGACCACTGTGACGAATACCACATGTTACATGACAAAGCCAACCAGCCGAGTAGTGAAATAAAACCGCCAATGCACAGAAAGACACTAAATCAATCTGATGTCACGAAAGTGTAGATTTGAGACTGGGGTTTACCAGATTAAAGATTGAAATCAGAATTTTGTTTTTAGGCTCAAAGATTTCAGTTGATTATTAAACGTTTCATTTTAGAGGGTATTGTAAATTTAAAATGGTATTTCTATTTAATTAAAGTATTTTAGAACATGATTTATACATTTAAATAACATTAGATGTTTTCTTTTTTATTTAAAGTCGTAAATATTGTTAAGTTGCTGAATTTAATATTATGCTGGCATACTTTGACAGAATATTTTTTGTAAGTGAGAGATAATTTTTTGAGCCTACGAGGTGTGGCTGGGAACTAAAAAGTATTGAGTACTGTACTACGTAATATCAATCCTTCTGAATGTTGCAAAATCTCCACAATGGACCGAACATGTGAGCAACAACGAAGTTTAGAGAAAATTGAAAGAGACAGTTGAAATTCCTAGGGGACATGAGGAAAGAGGGCTTGTAAAAAGGGATACTCACAGGACAGATTGAAGGCAAAAGCGACAGAGAAAAACCACGTATAACTTTCCTAGACGAAATGGATAGTAGAACAGAGTTTAAGAAAGATAACAAAAGAAAATTTATTAAAACCTACAAAGGACAGGAAATTGTAGAAAGCCATGATCACCAACTTCCTGAAGGGACACGGCATATAGAAGAAGAAGAAGAAGAAGAAGAAGAAGAAGAAATGATTACATTAGATTAAATAAGCTGATTTGAATAATTTAAAGTTGATTCATGGGGATTTCCATTTCCAAGAATTTTTCGTTTCCTAGGCAAAAAATATTTTTACAGGAATTTTTT